GGGTCCCCTTTGTTTTCCACCAGCCAGGCAAAAACATATTGTTTTGCTGGGTTCCTAATACCAGTGGTTTTGAACATTTTGCTTACCACTTGGGACTTTGACGGTAAATATAACATTTGGCCTGGCTCTATGCTTGGTGTTTTCGGTTTCCTTGCTTTCATGCCCGGTGGAAGGGAAGCCAAGCATAAACACCGAGGGCCAATACTACGATTCCCCACTGATGGGCGGAACCACAAAGGTCTTGCAATCATAATCGGACACCTGTTTTCGCAGCTTCTTCTTACAAATTCTGCGTGTGTCTCAAGTTCGTGGCCACTGCTTTTTCATTTGTCCCTTTCCCGTTCAAGGAGGGTTCCACTTCTCAGACAGACCCGTAGGGGGTTTGGAGCGGTGGGTCATGGCTTACATACCACAGATGGAAGTAACAAGTTCGTGAGGCGGTATGTATTCCTAAGTGACACCTCCGAAGCAAGTTCCTGCACATGTCCTTGGAACTTGTTTTTACCTCCGGTCTTCCAGTTGTGGCATGTGTGACTAAGTTCAAGACATGGTGATGATCATGTTTCTGTTGAGTTGTCGGTAAGCTTATGTATCATGTAAGAAAAGGACCAAGATGTGCGACGCGCTTGTATCCAGTCAAATTGCTTCGCCATACAGGCCTCCACGTGAAGCATCATACTTTCTACAGTGGTTACTGGAATCACCTGGCAATCAGAGTTACATTTGCTGATACTCCGTCCCAGCTTTTCGGCATGCATTCAATCATGCGTAGGACACATGGCTGTTTGCACACATTGACATGGTACATGATGGTTCTACTGTGCTTCTTATGCAGCGCACCTTTGCAAAGCATCCTTTGACACAGCTCCGCCTCAGCGGGGTCTTGCTTGTTCCAATGAGACACGGTAACGTCCAACAAGACAATGTATAAGAGTTTACAGGCCCCAATGCTTGCACTGACTTCCTTTCCAACACTCCCTCCCCCACGACCACATGCTGAAGAACCAGCATGTTTTTGTCGCATCGATATCCAAAGTGTTCCATGCAACAGCATCATCGTTGCACCTTTGCAGGAGAGAGCGAGAGCGATGGCGACGAGTCAGAAGAGGAATCCTCTTATTCAGAAGGCCGCGACGCCACAGTGCGCGATTGGGACTCTTGTGAGTGTTGGAATCCGTCACAGTCCTCCTGCCATGTGCCGTTTTTTACCCTCCAGGGAAGCCAACATTGATTCAGTGTGACTCACATTTGGTGAACAGACGGCTCAAACGTTTCTTCTGTGCCAACGTCGGTTGTCAAAAGACATAGTTCTGACTCAGATATTTGTCATGCGATTAGGACCGAAGGGGTCACCAGCCATTTGCGGCATGGGGGATACCGGGTCACAGCCGCTCGCTCACTTTATTTCCCACAAGGAGGTGTTCCACACCTGGGTAATTGAAGGTTAGAGATACTCCCAGCAAACGGGTACACCCGCCTTTGGATTTCTGATTGGTTCGGGGTACACAATTTGATTCCGGGTCTGATGAAGACTCACTTGGGTCCCTCTACTTGCGCTCTTGGAGGTTCCTCAGAGCCAAGAGGGCGCAAGAGGAGGACGCATCGCTGGGCGGGTCAGTTCCTGTCGGACTTAGCCCCGAGTTCAGGTTCAGCGGAGGAATCCTTTTCCGCATGTGTTTTGTTCTTTGGTTGGTTCCTTACCGAACATGATGAACCGCAAAATGGCGCCGATTCTTCTTCTTGAGTCACTTCGCAACTGGGAACCTGTTCGTTTCAACGTCAGGGTATGGATTTCGCTTCAGTTGTTTTTTTTGTTAAAGGTGTGTTGAGTTCTATATATGTTGCTTTGTTGACACTCAACCGTGGATCATTTTTTTTGACCACCTCAACTGTGAATCTGTTTTCGCAGTTTGGGTCTGAGCCAGCCACACCAGTCGCAAGAACTGCGATTTGCAGATTTGGGTGGTTTTATTTGGAGCGGGTGCCAAAATACGGCGCCATGGTGTGCCTTTTGGTTTCCCTTTGAAGCTACAAATTGAGGGAACCCTCAGACCATGATCTCGATGCTTGCGTGTCAGTAGAGTACTCGGCCTAGCCGAAAGCATCTCACACACACATACGCACATGCACCACCACTCCCATGTCCTTTGCAAGTTGGGCCCCTGGTCGGCGTCCAGCACTCAAATCGAAACGAAGCACCTTACCGTCTTGGCAGCAATCTTTTCTACGCTCAAGCTCAATTCGCGTGTGCTGCCTGGGTTTGCTTCATCCAGCGGACTTCCTTGGACTAGAACCACATTCCCCATGTTTTGGAGAAGACCATCTTGAACGGTCAAGATAGCGGGTACTAGTATCAAATCTTTCCCCAACCGCCAAACGAGAAGCAGGCACCCGGCATACCAAGACTCGTTTCCGGTACTTGGCGAAGCAAACACCTGGTTTTCCCATGGTAGCCACCCGCTGAAGCCAATGTAATGCGGTGTCAGATGTGGTCATGGGGGTGTTGAACTATTGTTTGGAGTGTCCTCGAAACCTGGACCCAGTGCTTCCAGTTGCCACTACCAAAGGGAAACCAATGTCAAACCTAGAGCTAAGAGACCCTGGTTACCTGCTATCATGGTCACTGGAAGCACTGGGGGAGATTTCGAAAATAAGTACTGGGACATGGAAAACACGGGCCCCACGCTTTTCTAGCGGAATCTCCTTGGGGCTTCAGGCCAGCGTGCTTTTTGCCTTCAGGGCATCGCTTGGTCTGGGTCCGGCCATTGAAGATACACTTCCCACATGATAGGCACAAACAGCTATAGCCTTGAACTGGCTCAATCCGTGTTGTCTGTGTAGAAAATATATGGCACTGGACTGGAGGATTGCAGTTGGTTTGTTTGACACCCCGAGAGCAGGTTCAAGAGACAGAGACAGAAAGAGAGAGAAAGAAAGAAAGAAAGAAAGAAAGAAAGAAAGAAAGAAAGAAAGAAAGAAAGAAAGAAATAAAGAAAGAAAAAGAGAGAGAGAGAGAGAAAGCAAGAGAAGGGGAGAGCAATCGCATTTGGGGTCAAGCTGCCAGCCGTTGTGGTACCGTAGATTGAGCTCATGCGTAAAGGATACGTGTGCCATGGCCAATCCTCATGCTTACTCTGCCATTCCAACCTCACCCACCATAGTTTGATGCGGCTGTTCTCTGCCAGATATGATTCGCTTTGCCCTGTCCCAAACAAACTGGCGCGCGTGCGTGCCCTTGGGAGAGGTGGTTTTGACGTGCACATGCCCCCTCCCCCATCCGCGAGTGCACGCGTGCACGCATCAAATGTGAGTGCCACCTGCAGCGAAAGCACAGCTGACGGAAGGCACAAGCTGATGCCAAAACGCATCGTCTCGTGAAGATCTACGGCATCGGCGGGCGGCATCAAGCGGGCCCACGGCAAAAATCGCAGCTCCGGCGGGAAAATTGCAACCTTTAAGCGCAGAAGCAGTACGCTAAGCGCATTTCAGCAGCTTTGGCTTTGGCTGGAAAGCCGTAGCTTTTTGTACAAAAGTAGTACACGCGGTGCTGCAACCGCAACTGTGCAAAAATAAACTTGCACGGAGCACTTGCGGAGAGCGACGTGCAGAGTTGCACAGAGCAACTTGCGCGCAGGACTAGGACTTCCCTTCCGCAAAAACACACGCAGAGGCAGAGACACTTGCACAGAGCAACCGGCATACAGCAATGCGCGCTGAGCGACTGCTAGAGAGCGACTTGCATAGGGGACTTGCGCAGGCAGAGAGAGAGAGACCGCACCACCCTTGGGTTAAACATATTGGCCACAAATCGCAGGAAACAATGCGTTCAGATAGTTTATCTCGTCGTCTGAAAACAGACGGCGCTGGAACGAGTGCACTTCCCCTACCTCAGTATGACCCTCGTGGTTGGGAGGTCGTCCAGTGAAAGCCGCAGGCGAGCGGGGGGAGGGGGGGGGGGGGCAAGGCCGAGCCACGTGACCCTCGTGCGTTTGAGACCGTTTGATGTTTCCGTGTCAGGAATGGATGTTGACGCTTAACTGCATGTGTGTTGTTACAACAGATGTGTTTCTTGTTTTCTTTTCTTTTTTCTTGGGCCGGATTCTAGCTGTGTGGCTTTCTCTCAAGCATGGCTTCTTGGAAAGTCGCGGATAGTCATAGGTACGGGATCCAGTCGGTCAATCAGAAACAATGTACATGTGTCAGATGAATCCTGCCTGGCTTTGTCTTAAGAGTTTGACTCTGCTCATTTTGTCTCAGGGATGCCATATTGGGTGAACATGGATCCGCTATTCACCGCCCTGCGAGGTTGTTTTACGGGAGTAGTTGAAAGGAGAACCAACTTTTCTTCGTCTAGCCTGCCCAAAGCGACTCGACCGTTTGACCTTTTGGTTCCCCTTTTCATTTTTCGGGTCACGACCCCCAAAGGTCGACCGTTTATTTTCAGCCATAGTTGAGCGCATGTGCCGGCAAAGGCAAGCAACCCGAGTGCGGACCGAGCAAGGCGAGCAAGGTTCCTTTCTTGGCTGCTATTGGGTTGGATCTTTAGACTTTAAGTTCTTGGGAAATCAAGGGGCTTACCACTAAACCCACAAACAGTGTACTTCTTGCAGAGGGATCAACAGCAACCAAGCTTTAAGCACCATTCTTGTTTCGGCATTCTCACTCGCCGAATTTCCGGACTTGACACTTTTTGGGAAGACACCGCAGGGTGTAGTCCATGTGGGGGTACCCTCTTTTGACCCACAGCCATCTTAGTGATAAACCAAAGACGCAATGTTATCCCAGGATGACCCGTCCCATTATCAGGGGGGTTTCCCTCAAAAAGTGTTCTGAATCCCCGCTAAAAGGGGACACCCCCCACTAAAAGTCAACCAACCAGGGGTTTGTGAATCCCGGGTTAAGACTATGCGATGCGTGAATTGAACACACAAAAAAAACAACAAAAACGCAAACCAGCAAGAATTGATTCCCCAGGGTTGCTTTGGATCCTCCTGTTTGTTTAATCAACCAGGGGTTCACATCTCTCCGCCTTTTCTCGCAACGACGCCTTGCCAGGCCCACGCGCCGCCAGAGACATAGAAGGAGAGAGAGTCGGGAGACGCCGTAGAGATGGCCTTGTGTGTCTTTTTGGGAGCCCCCTGTTTTTTCTTTTGGGATCCAAAAAAAGGCGTCCCTTAAAAGTGTTTTTTGTAGGAGCCCCTGTTTTTTGGGGGGGATCAAAACCAGGGGGTCCCTTTATGGATATGTGGCTTTAGGAGCTCCTGTTTTTTTTTTGGGGGGGGAATCAAAAAAGGAGGCCCTTGCGGAATATGTGATTTTAGGAGCCCCTGTTGCTCTTGTTTGGGGATCAACAAAGGGGGTCCCTTAAAGGATACATCCAAAAGCAAGTAAGAGACCCTGTGGTGGACATCAGAGTTTGGGTGGTGCCCTATTACACTCCGCGCGCGTGAACATAATATCATGTGTTTTTGGAGGAAGGCCAAAGGGAAACCAGCTTGGAGACAAACCCCATTCTGCTTAACATGAAGCATCCAGAGAACACAGATGTAGTTGTTACTTTACTACCGCGGGGGTACCCCATTCTGAGCCACAGCCACGCGAGATGTCCCCACAACAGGTCGGACAGCTTAGGAATGATTTCCCCAACAATAACACAGCATGCCCACCACGTACTGTGTTTTTCCCACGTTCAACATCCCGAGTACAGCGTGGCATTGTTTATCGCAGCTGGGTTGTCAAAGAGGAAAACCCCTGGAAGCACCAAATTATCGTCCCAAGTGAGAAGACTATCCCCCAGGATGAACAACAGCTGTCAATGTATGTGATGATTGCTCCGACTTGAGATGCCCAACTGTGTTAAGGCTTTTATCACTGAGTCACTAACCTCTGGCTGTGTGGATGCGCTTCGAGGAAGGGTTCCCAAACCAAAAATCCTTTGCATGGAAACTGAGCTCGCCAAAATCCGATGCCAATTTGCGCGAGCTCCTCGCCCGGTAGGAGGTCCAGAAGCCGGAATCCCAGGCCGGGGAGCTTTGGGACGCACACACCAGCACCCAAGAAGTGTCCATTGGTACCCCAAATGGCTCTCCAAGGGTCCATCGGTACCCAAAATGGCTCACACCCAAGCGACCATGGGCACCGAAAATGGCTTAAGGGCACTTCAGGTACAAATCGACCACCCTTGGAGGCTGGTGCTCAAGCTGAACGAGAATTGGAGCCAAGCCTTTGCGCTTACACAGGACCAGAGGTCCATGGGCGGAATCTGTCCTATTTGCGAAGATATGTTTCCATGTGGTTTTTTTGAGGGCACAAACTTGTCGGTCTTTTCTAAAGGGAGACCAAGGGGACGATGAGGCCTTTTTGTGGGTTCCCCCATTTTGAGAGAGACCCATTTCGAGCGGACCTATTTCCTCGGGCGTTCAGCGTCTTTCGCAGGCCCGCCATCAGCTAGCCAGCCAGCAGGAAGCAACTAAGAATTACCCACAGTGCCGCTCGTTCCAGAAAAAAAGGGGGGGCTGAAGACAGTAGATCTGGGATCGCAGGCTTTGGGTTTGGGTCGTTTAAGTTTTTCGGATTGCTCTAGTGCCGCAGAGTGGTTGTCTTTTACAAACCGAAGGCTTCTTCCCCTGAGGGTCCAAATATCTTTGGAGGACGTGCCTTTACACGTTTTGACCACTGAATTACGTCCTAACAAGGTACGTGGACCCTCTGGTTTCTATCAGTTTGGTATTTGCTTTGGCGACCTATTTGTTTCTCCCCTAAGTTCATTTGCAGGCGACGTCGGCACCGTGACCATCGTCACAGGCCAGTCACTTGGAGACTCGGGAGACTCGAGCAAGGTTGAAGCCCGATGGCAGGTTTTGGGGGGGTTCCAGCTGTTTGATCCTGAAATTTCCAGCTGATCACGTGACCCTCAGCCTGCCTCTTGCTGTTAGTTTGCTATGTGGCGCGTCAGCACGGGTTTCCTCACTTGCCCAAAGCGAGTCGATCGAATCTGACCTTTTGGTTTCCCCTGTTTAGCAACCATTTTTAGTCATCACCCCAACGTTTAGAACCATCTTTGTGTGACCGCAAAAGGTTGACCTTTCAATTCTGGGTCCTTTGGTGGTGAGCTACCGGGAACCCGCGTCAGCGCGGGTTGCACAAGCTTCGTCAATCCATCCAGTCGATTCCGCCAGGCGCAGGCGTGGTCGACGCTGAAGCGCCGCCAGGCCCGGGGTGTTTGCTTTTTTGACAGCCGGAAACGTGTCAGTGTGTGTGTGTGGTTTTCGGATTTGAACCCCAAAAAGCATTGTCAGCGTGCGTATGCTTTTAGGGTTTGGACCCCAAAATTATGTATCCTCTATACAACCAAACAGGTCGTACCCTCAAAAAACAAACACCCATGCCGCCTGCTTCACATTTCTGGAAGGTGTGCTGTCTTTCGCCCAGGCAAGCCCTTTTGCGATGCCTTGTGCGGCGGAAGCGGACAGGCAAATGAGATTGAATGCGCGCGGATTGAAAAAGGATGCAACCGCCGCTGCACGTGAGGCGCATGTCGGGCCATTTGTGCCGCACCCTGATCCAACATGAATACACGGCCTCTGTTGTTGAGGCTGCCCCGTTTTTTGGCCGTTCCTAAAGGGAGACCCAATACCGTTTCTAGGGGTTGATTCCCCATTCTTTTCAACCATCGTTCTTTCCAAGAATCGGATCCGTTTTCCCTGGGTTTTTAAGGAGGTTTTCTAGAAAGATTCGGATCCCTGGAAAGAATGGAAATGGAAGGTACCCCTAGACAAGAACATATTTTTAGAGAATGAAGGTACCCCTAGGCCTTTGTTCTCTTCTTCGTTTTTTTGGGGGAGAGGGGAGGGGGTAAAGAAGCCACACATGGCACGTCTTTTACGGTCCACATGCCACGAATTTGGCCGGCCAAGTGCTTGGAGCTTGGACAACGGCAAGGGATAGTTCCTCGCCCGCATTCTTCACTTCCTTCTAAAAAGGAAAGAAGAAAAGAAAGAAATAAAGAAGAACTTCCTTCTAAAAAAGCAACAAAAAAAGCAAAAAATAAAGAAAATAAGGTGGAAATGAAGAAAGGAAGGAAGGGCAGAAAGAGCGAAATAATTGAAAAGGGATGTTCGAAGAACTGGCGATGTTGCACCTGCTACCGATCCCAAGCCCTGCGAGGTACTACCGGGGCTTCAGCGAGTTCGACGGCGTGGAGTACCAGAAGGTGCCGCCGAAGCGAGCGTTTGCTTTTATGCGTCAGGCGGCCGATGTGGGGCATAGGTGTCGTTTTGGTTTAGGGTACTGGTGTCTTTTTGGTTTGGCATAGGTGTCTTTTTGGCATGGGTGTCTTGTTGTTTGGTGGATGTAATTACCCATTTTGGCGCTTTTACCCATTCTGTTGTTTGGTGTCTTTTTGGTGGATGGGTGCCCGTTGTTTGGTGGATGTACCCATTTTGGGTGTTGATCTCAGATGGAATCCTGCAAATACCGGGGTCAAACAGCGAATCTTCCCAAAACGCTGGAGGAATCTACCATTTTTTGAGGTGCCCAACAGGGACCCTAAACTTATGAACTGGATTGTTAGAACTGAACTTTTTACATGAGTTCACTCAATATGAGTGTGGGCGTTTTTTGCTGGTGCAATAGATAGGGAACGAGGGGATGAACCCAGGGGTCCCCTTAAAGGAAACCACCATGGATGGTTTATAGGGTTCATTCCCTCATTCCCTCCTGAAAAGAGCACCAGCAAGTGTTTGAGGGTGCCCATTTGGGGTTGATAAGTTTGAACGGCAACACCAGGAAAACCAAGCATGCAAGTACCCCTATTCTGCGACCAACTTGTATGGACCAGAATCACATCCCAGATTCTCCGCTCACTGTCGGCTCGCCGCTGTACTTGGTATCCTGTGTTTTAGCACAAAATGTAGCTCATGTGAGCCACATGTAAAGCTCAATGAAGGTCAGTAGGGAACGGTCTCAATCACAGAATTGGTGCGACTTTCTGCCTGCGAATTCTCTACAAGTTTTGGGCCGCAGACTCGTTGATATATGGCAGTGACTTTTATGGGACCCAACCACAAAAAGTGGCACCGAAAAATGACCTGTTGCATAGCCTATGTAACAAGACCTGCTGGCTCGCTACGTACCCCCTCGTGGCATACCTTCGTTACATACTTGTTTTTGTTTAAAGCCTGGGCCTGGCGTTTTGTTTTCTTCTTTTGTTACTTTTGTTCCAAAGGAGACCCGTCATTTTGGGGTCCCCTCCGTTTCCATCATCACTTGTTGTCGAAAGGTCCTTTACATGGGATGACCATTGCTAAAAAGAAGACATGTCCCATGGGAGAAGCGGCCTGGTCATTTGGGGGCTGCCAAAATGGGCACCCTGAGCAGTGTCCTCATGATGTCGCCAGGTCTCCATCCCAGGGCGACAGGTGCCAGATCGGGAAGTGGTGGAGGAGGCACAAGCGGGGAAATAGATGAGCTGTGAGCAACTTGGAAGCAAAGGTGGGTGAGCTAGTTCGGTGAATAGATGAGTTCCACTGAAATTGGGTTGTATGGCTCATCTACCAGGGAAACCCAAATTTGTTTCTGCAGAAGGCCACCAATGCTTGGAGGTGCTCGGAACCAGCCCGAACGGATGTTGTTTAAACAAGTTTAGCAGTTTTTAGTGTGTTTGAGTAGGTAGTTGGTCTAGCTGCCGGCAAGACATTCGACAACAATGTGTTGAAGTGCAGCGCAACAGTATGCACGTGTGCATATCTTACAATCTCTCTCTCTCTATATTATACACAGAGCGACTGAAACACAGATATGTTCTGAAAGTTACCTTGAGCTGTTTGCTCCCCCATTGCCTGGGCTCCCTGAAAGAACATCACAAAGGCTTACTGTCAGACGGGAAGGGTCCTGCGCTCGGCTGAAAGCTGCGGGAGGTGCGGGACGCATCTTTTTAGAGGTTGTCCAGGTCCTTGATGGGACATTTTACCGCAAATGATGTGAACTGATTTTGTCGTTTGAGCAGGTGTTGCACGCTGCTTCATGGACAGGACGCTTGTGGAGCCCTTATTTTCATTGGATATACTACCACTTTCACTGGTATGCCTAAGCCCCTCATGTCCATCCATTTTCTCAGACACAGGCCTGACGGAGTTTGCTTGTACCGTAATTTGCAAGTTTGGCTTAGCCCCAGATGCAATTGGGTGAAAGTATAGATGGCATCCCCGGGTTCCCCAATTTGGGCTTAGTCATGGCCTTTACTTATTTGCTGTGGGCTTAAAGCCGAAAACTGGGTGATTTCCCTTGAGCCTAGCATGTATGGAGTGACTTTCTCGTCAGCTTTGGCCACTTGCCTGGTCTTTATGGACTGCCGGTTTTGCGTTGCTCAAAATGGGATTCAGACCCGGCTTGTTGGTTTTCAAGCGGGGACCTCATTCCCCCAACATGCAACTAAGAATCATGCAAGGAGTTTGGAAGACCAGCAAATGCTTCGTAAGCACGGTGGGAGTGGATCCCCCAAAACCATGGAATTCATGTGATCTTTCCCTGCCACTTGTCACACGTCGTGGCCATGTCCTTTGGGTGCCGTTTCGGCTTTTGGGACAGTTCCACGGGTTTTTTTCCGCCTGGAATCCCTTGGATTCCATGGGGGGTGAGATGCTTCCGGCCAGATCTTCGACACCATCGACGACTTCACCTTCAGAAAGCGCGGAGGGATGGCCGTAGGAGAAACCTTGCTGCTTCGCTAGGCAGGGAAGATTGTGGGAACGACCCCATCCGCTTCGACTTAGCTTTTTGGATCTGTTTAGTGTTTAGTAGGGGGAGGGAGTCCATTTAGCCCACTAAAAGTTAAGCTTTTCGCAGGGGATCTGTGCTGTTGCCATGGATCACAAAGCACGGGAAGCTGCTTGAAGTGAGCGTGTGTTGAAGTTACAATGTAGCCGTCGTCAAAGAGCACATGCCTGGGTATGGCCAATGCGCGGTTGTTTTGATGACCCGTGCTTTTCAAGGAAGAGTCATTCTGGGCAAATTACAACGAGCTCACCTGGGGGTAAAACGAGCTTACCCATGATGAAGTTGGTGACGTCTTGGTTTTTTGAGAAGCTGCGAAAGGTAAAGTGACTTACTGCACGTGCAGCGAGCAGTAGCGAGCTCAACCTGGAACGCAAAAGCCAAATGATACGACAGGCTTCAAGGGCACGGGATGTATGACACCCAAGCGCAATATTAGGTCCCCCAGCTAGTTGCCCTTTCTCATCTTTTTTTGGGTTGGGAGGGTTCCCCTACTAAAATAGACTACAGAAAAAAGGGGTACCCTTAGTCTAACCTCTCTACTGGGAGGACCTAGAATATATTTGCTCCGCAACTGCTGGTCCCGACAGGCACCGTTGCAAGTGAACCCTTTTCGAAAGCAATCAGCATAAGGCAGGGCATGGATGGCACAGGCTTCCCCTGTGCTAGGATCATTTGGGGAGCAGGCGAGTCTCAGGACTTCACTTCCCACTCCATTCGGATGGTCCCAATCACAAATGCTTCACTGTGAAGTATCTCCTCTTGAGCCACCAGCACTCCCAAAGACGTACAATTGAAACACTGTTCTAGGGATACCTTCCATTTCCACTCTTTCCAGGGATCCGAATCTTTCTAGAAAACCTCCGGAAACCCAGGGGAAGACGGCTGGTTTTTGAGAAGAACGATGGTTGAAAAGAATGGAAAAGGAACTCTCAAACCTCACCCAACAAAAACTCAGTTGAACTCCTCAATGCCTTTCAAGGTACCCATGAAAAAATCAACCCCTACTCTCCGTCCATTTCTGCGTCCGCTACTGCAGAGCCCCCAGCTCCCTCACCAGCGGTCACAGCCTTTCACGTAGGCCAGAGCTCTACGTGGCGGTGCACTGCACCCACGGAGTGGGGGGCCTGGCGATCAGTTGTGTCTGTTTTGCCTTGTTGTTTTCTTTGGGGGTGTTTGGTTTTTCGGTTTAGGTTCTGGGTTTTCGTTTTTGGTTTTGGTTTTTGGTTTAGGTTTTGGTTGTTGTTTTTGGTTTTGCTTTTTGGTTTTGGTTTAGGTGTTTGGTTTTTGGTTTAGGTTTTGGTTGTTGTTTTTGGTTCTGCTTTTTGGTTTGGTTTAGGTTTTTGGTTTTGCTTTGGAACTTTTTGTGCGTGTTGTTTTTGGATTAGGGTTAGGTTTTAGGTTCGGGTGTTTGGTTTTGCTTTTTGGGTTTGATTTAGGTTTCTGGTCTTGGTTGTTGGTCTTGTTGTTTGGCTTTGGTTGTTTGGTTTAGATTTTTGTTTTTTGTTGGCTTGTTTTTTTGGTTTTGGACTTCGGTTTTTGTATAGTTTCTTGTTTCATTATTATTAAAGTTTGGTTTAAGTTATTGTTGTTTTTTCCTTCTGGTTTTTGTTGTTGTTTTTTTTTGTTTTAGGTTCTTGGTTTTACTGTGGGTTCTGGTTTTGTGGTTTTGTCTTTTGGTTTTGGTTTATGTTGTTTGGTTTAGGCCCATGTTTTCTTTGTTTTTG